GAATTGAAAAATAATAAATAGACTGAGCATCTTGAAACAACTCATATAGTTTCTCTTCCCAGAGTCCCATTAGCGCCCGAGTGGTAAAGTCACTGAACACTGATAGTTTGACTCTCGGTGAACGGGTTGGCTGCATGGGAAGGGGGTTTGTGGTTTCCTATCTGAAACATGGATACGAGCCAGTTTCTCTTAGAAGGTTTTTTCCATGAAGGCATCCCTCCCCTTAAACAGATAGCCCTCGCATGCTTTTCCATAATAAAAAAATACCAAACCAAAAAGGGTTCCATTTCGAGAATATAAATTTCTGATACCTGTTTATTTTATATAACTATATGTCCATACACAGGTAATTTAATGCATATCTAAAAGCTGGTGATAGTGATTTAAACCAGAGACTGCAAAAGACAAGAATTTCAGGTTTCAGTAGTAGCACGCATACAGGAGAAATGTTTTACGAAAAAGAATTCTTTTAAATAGGAAACCCGGAACTTATATCTTGCTGTGTAACTGAATAGCAAACGGTTACGTATTCGGTGAGATAAACTGTAGAGACATTAGGTAAATTAGAAAAGCCGGAGAGATGAAAAATGAGCAACCGCCTTCACCAGGAATTGAACCACGGACATCTGAAATACCGGCCCAGCGTGCAGAAACACTACACCAGGAAGCCACGTTAGGAAAGTGGGAGAAATACCTTATATACTCCCCTTTTTAAAGGGCGACTGGGTTTTTTTTAGGGGACCCAATCACCAAATCCTGAGTGTGCAGAAACCTCATCCAACACCCTTTTAGTTCGGGCGCCACTGTAGAGAAATTCGGATTTTTTTTGGAAGCAGGAAAAATGAAAAATTAACAACGCCTTCGCTGGGAATTGACCCACGAACCTCTGGAATACCGGCCCAGCGTGCAGAACCACCACACCACGAAGGAACGTAGAAAAGGGGGAGAAATAAACTTTATATAGAAACTTAGCAATCGCCTTCGCCAGGAATCGAACCACGGACCTCTGGAATACCGGCCCAGCGTGCAGAACCACTACACTACGAAGGCACGCTAGGAAAGTGGGAAAAATACCTTATGGAAGTTGTATTTTATATGATAAGTTTCTTGATGGGTTTTTATGGATTTTTTTTCCTCTTTTGTTCAGCATTATAAATATACAATTGTTTGCTATCAACTACAAAGAGCAAGAATATTCGGTACTATTCCATTATGCATTATTCCATTATTATCAGGTTCACAGATAATGTCTGAAAATATCCGTTGTAACGAAAGTTTTCCGCCAAAAACATTCTTAATAAAGTTAGAAAAAAACATGAACGCAGTACCTTTAGTGCACATACTAATCCCCAACCAAATCTATAATTTCCTGCCGACGTTTTGATAGTTCCAAAAATTAGGTGGCCGCGAGTCTAAAAACAGATTAACCTCATTTTGGAAGTCCTGTGCAGAATGGAAGATATCACCAGCAAGATGTTGCTCCAGGTGTGAAAAAAGGCAGAAGTCCAAATCAGCTACGTCGAAGCTGAGTGTGGCAAAAGATCCCATTCGAGTTCGTACAGGGTCCAGCCGGTGAATGCAGACACATGTGGTCTTGCATCTTGATGGGCCGGAACTTAGTTCGACGTTTTACTTTGATAGCATCGTCAACATGGACTAGCATCTCACTGTACAAATTACTGTCGACGGTTTTACCTTTTTTCCAGATACTCTTTGTGGATAATACCACGGCAATCCCACCAGATACAAAGCCTTATCTTTTATGTTAGTCAAATTGCTCTTTGTGATGCTGGCAACAGGCTCACCGGGCGCATACCAACTCGGCTTGTGTTGTTGAAGTAAATCCACATTTCATCATAAGTGACGAACTGGTCCAGATACAAAGCATGATCTTTTTGTCAGTCAAACTGCGCTTCACGACGCTGCCGACGAGCGCACCGGGCACAGACCAACCCCCTTTTCGGCTTGTGTTGTTGAAGTAAATCCACCTTTCATCACAGGTGACTATCCGGGCCAGAAATTTGTCTTTGATTTGATATTCGAGCTGATTAGGGCAAGCCCGAACATTTCTGTCCCTATCTGCGTGAGTCAGTTCATGCGGCACCCAGCGATTGAACTTGTATGTCAAGTTTATGGGATGCTTACAGCCCGACTAATGGACATAACACTAACGTCTGACTCCTTAGCAAGATCTCGAGTAGTTCCATACTGATCTTATTCCACAAGTTCTCACAGGCAGGCCTCATCAACGTCAGTAGGCCGGCCAAAGCGCTCTACTTCTTAAAAGTTATAGTCTTTGTTTTTGAACTTTCGGTACCAAATCTTCACAGTGTCATATGATACAACACTAGTACCTAAAGCTATACACATGATTTGGTGACATTCTGTTACTGACTTTTTGCAACAGACCTGGATGTAAATGATGGTTCTAATCTGTTAGCGTGAGAGTTCCATTTTAAGCACTAACTTAATGATAACGATACTTTTTTTACAAATTTCGCAACACAGTGTTCCGAAGCAAGTCTCTATCTTTCAAATGCCAAAAACCGCTTGATAAAATATAATTAAACACACCATAACAAACTGTTTTGCGCATACATTTGCGGTGGCGGAAAACTTTCATTAAAACCCGATAAAATATTCATCCATGTTAGCTAAAATTTATGAATTATAATTAAATAATTATATCAATGACACAGTGTGAAAAGAATGTTCCAGTTTGGTATGAAACGAATTCATGTTTTACACATAGTTATTAATTTATTTACACTGACAAATTTCTTTTACTAAATCATTTGAGAATTAAAACTGAGTTTTAATAAATTTTTTCACTATCATCAGTGATACTAGCTAAGACTTTGTTAAAAGATGACAATATACTTGATCTTAGTTTTTTATGTCATCTGTCAACTAATTTCTCGAAAATATAAAGTTAATGAAAACAAATTAATTTTAAAACAAAACAAAATTAAAAAAAAATGTTTGATAAAAGTGAATGATATTAGAGTAAGTAATCGGATAGTAGCATTTTACCCTCCCGCAGAGAAAGCTCTCAGATAATTACGAAATTCGTTAAATTACGTGGACAAAAATGGCAACATATGATTCAACTCAGTATTCAGGATCTTCGTTCCACAAAACAACTTTCATTGGATTTTACCGGCGGCAAACATCAAAAGGATCTGGCTGTGATTTGAGACAGTAGTAGGCCAAACTAAACAATATCAAAAGCTCTTATCATTTCTTCTAGACACAGATTACAATTAATAATTTATTGTTCTAGCGTGCCATATTTAAGAGGAGAGGAAGAAGAAAAACAAACTCAGTTTTCCATTAGGTATTATTTTACTAAGTTTAAAATTCGTAATGAATTTTTTTATACGTTGAACTGCGGTGCTTAACCACCAGGGTGCCTGGGCGCCATAGCCCTACCCCTCATCGAATAACATGATAAAAGTTTCGAATTATGAGAAATATAACTGAATGTGCTAAATAATTAAATGAGCAAGAGTATAAATTCATAATTGCTAATAGTTAAATACATATTTTTTCCTTAAGTACCTAATTACTAAACCATACATAATTAACTATTTTTAACAACTATTTCACAGAAGAATACATGTACACACAAGAGAAACAAAAATAAATGTTAGTAATGTGTAATTTTGTATATGTGTTATGCAAATTGTTGCTCAGATTCTTTATTCTATATTGTTCTATTTTCCCTAACCGGTAGACACGTTGTCGTTCATGTTTCTGGTTCATTATCCACAAACCGGCCTATACGGGCTGGTGTTCCACAGGGATCCCTTCTGGGCCCTACCCTATTCAATATTTACGTGAACTACATCCCCACTACACACAACACAACACTAGCCATGTATGCAGACGACACAGCGATCCTTACGCAAAGTGCATTTGTTAGTTCAGCAATACAACAGCTACAACACCACCCCACTCGCTAGAGACTTGGCTGACCAAATGGAAAGTCAAAGTGAATGTCGACAAGACACATGCCATACTATTTACTACTAAGAAGAATTTCCCGACTCACCTGCAAATGTATGGTGTGGATATTCCCTGGGTCAAGCAGGTCCCTTATCTTGGGGTGATCCTCAGTAAATCTCTTACATGAAACCCACACGTTACACATATTCTCAGGAAGTTTCAAGCTAGTAAAGCTTCACTCTTCCCCTTAATTGCTCGAAACAGTGTTCTATCTATTGATAATAAGTTGCTCATTTACAAAACCATGTTGCGTCCAATTCTTAGTTATGCATGCCTCGTCTGGGCATACTCGTGCAAAAGTTTGAGAAGGCAGTTACAAGTTGCCCAAAACGGGGTTTGAGTATGATATGTAATGCCCCCTGGTACATTCGGAATAGCCAAATTCGTAAAGAGTTAAGAATAGAGGATCTTTGTGATTTTTATGCCGCCTATCTAGGGCATTTTATGATAAGCAGGAACTTCTGGACAATTCTGTGGTTGTTAACTATTGTTATGATACTAGGGACCCCCAATTTCAGTAAAACGCCCAGGGCGATCCTAAATGTTAGTAATGTGTAATTTTGTATATGTGTTATGCAAATTGTTGCTCAGATTCTTTATTGTATATTGTTCTTTTTTCCTCCTGATTGCTTTATTTATTTATTTATTTATTTTTTTTTTATACGTTGAATTTTTTAGAGCTAAGAAGAAGCTTAATTCTCTCTAATGTTACACTTAAGTTTATTGGAGTTTACAGTGTAAATCGAAATCTGTTGTTTAGTAAAAATTCGGTGTTTTATTTAATGTAATTCATCTAATGATTACTTATTAAATGCGGTATTTTTAATATTGAAACAGGAATAATATTTGCAAAGCTCAAAATAAAAATAATAACTGATAATATAAAATGATATTTTCCTTTGTAACCGTTCATTTTACAGATGCTATGTTACCATAGTAACAAAAAAGCAGCCTTTATTGCTTAACATATTCACTGTCATAAAATTTTTCATTTTAGCTTGTGGTTCTTCATATTAAACAACGTTAAAGCATTGCTACCATCTTGCTGCAAGCATCTTCAAGAATGCATGATTTTTCTCATATTTCATGTTATATCTCTCATCGGGAGTATTAAGGTTAGTTGTTTTCATCTAAGAATTGAGATACAGACAAATCGCTAAAATACTGTCGTACAACCTTTATTTGCAAACTCATCTTCTAATCTTGTTTCTGTATAGAGAAGCTGCATAGTAGTAGCAATTTATTCAAGAGTATTCGCTCAGTATGTGTCTAACGCAATTAAGGAGTGTTGGAACCCTAAAATCTTCAAAAAATTGTGATTTCGGATTTTGCATTTTCAAATTCTCTACACTTTTATCTTTCTAAAGATACCATTCTTTAATCTCTATGAAAATTAGAACTGTAAAAAATCTAGTTTTAATTTGTCTTCGACTGCTTTGATTAATGAGGATTTTTACATAAAAATGTGTTCTTCTCCACTCGATGTACCTTTTCTCAGGAACTACTGCTCACAGGTATCTGAAATTTTTTATGGCTTATTTATTAGGTTTCTTAATATTTACTGAAATGAGCTTTTTGTGATAAACTTAGGGAAAAAAATTTTTTAAAAAAATTTTTGTGTGAGAAAAGTGCTAAATTTTACTATGCCTAACAAAATATTCTGCAAATTACTCTAAAATTCAAAATGTTTCAAAAGCTTATTTCGGTCCTTTAATTGGAGCTACTTTGGTAGACGGTTGCACGGATTTTTGGCGATTTACTTTGCGCGATTGTTGGCGCGGTTTTTACAATCGTCAGCCATCTTGAAAAACGCCGTTTTTACGTTATTTTCCGCATAGTAAAGTATTTGAAACTTTAAAAAAATAAATATCGTTAAAAATAATGGATTAATTTTTTTGTTGAAAACGTTTTTTAAGATGGCAAGCAAATGTAAATAAATGCATTTACTACGAGTATAAAATACTAAAGAAAGGTTAAATTCTTACTTAAAGAATTACTTAAATTAACATTATTACATATAGCACAGAAATAGAATAAAAATACCGCTATAAAAACATTGCGCCAACGTTTAATTGGATTAAAAATATTACGTAAATTGAATATCGAATTAAAAACCATCATACCAACGTTTAAAAGAATTAATATTTAAATATTACTTAATACTTTAAAATAAGTAAATAAGAACGCTTCGTACACTTGAGCTAAAATGACAGCAATTAGTTTATTTTCGGTAAAAAAGGAGGAATGTCTAATACTTTCTTACCGTTACAGCGATTATTTCTTCAAACTTGACCACAATACCATATACGGCCGTCCTCAGAATCGACTCTTCTAACGATCTTCACCTGTGATCTACATTTTCGCACTTCATTGAAGAAGCAATTAGCGAGATTTCCTCCAAAAACTTAAAATAAATTTCCTCTGACCCTTGTAAGAATTTATAAATAAATCTTTGATTAGGAAAGCCAGGCTGGCAAAAATAAGGTCTCAAAGGACAATTTTTTGATTCCGATACCAATAATTCTTGGTACTTATCAAAAACAACATTCATCTTTGAAGGAAACATATTTGAAGGAATTCGAAGATATGAATTAAATTTTAAAATGGTGCGGTAAGGCACAAATTTTCAGCAACCTATCACGGAGCTGAATACAGCTCGTTAATACACAAATATTCTATAACCAATCAGAGAGCTGATTACATCACGCCTAGAATTAAAATTATTTAAATAATCATACATAATAAAATCATTTAAAAAAAGAAATGCAAAATTAAATTGTATTTTAATATTTAACAGCCATAAATAAGGTTTAAAACATTACATTAAATTTATAGATATTATAACCAATTACTTTTAAAGTAAGGTGACGTCATTGATTACATCATCCACAGCATAAAATTTCATAAAATATCATAACAATAAAATTTTTATTTCAAATAAAAATGCAAAATTAAATTGATTTTTAATATTTAGAAGCCATAAATAATATTTAAAATACGGAATTTATGCATAATAACACGAATTATTTTTTAAATAAAATGACAACAAAGTATCCGTTACCATAAATAATTTATCCAGCAATGGGTTTACCATACGTCGTATTACTCGCCAAAAGAAAAAATCGCCAAAATCCGTGCAACCGTCTACCAAAGTAGCACCCTTTAATTATACAAAAAATTTCAAGAGTGTATCTACAGCAGATTTTGAGAAAAGGTACATCGAAAATGGCCAATTTAACATTGTCGGTATAGGGGTTGCTGAAACCCCTTAATTTTTTTTTAAAGAGAAGCACATAATTATAAAAAATTTTATTCCTTTCACATGTACGCAGATTTCTTTATTCTCCCCTCCCACACACACTCGGGGAGAGAGGGAGCCTGTATAATTTTATCATTTTGGGAACAAATCCATCAATTGAATTGCATGGGAAACTTAATAATAAATAAGTACTCAAATTTCACTCTGCTAATGATCTAACTTTTTCATGGGGGGGGGGAGAACCAGCAAACATTTTTCTACTTTCTATTCAGATTTTTCTTCTGTTTTCCTTCTTCGATTCTCATAATGAAGGCATTATATCAAAATTAAGATGCACCGGCGCACTTTCTAGTTCTAATAATCTAAGTGATATTATATAATATTTATAGATAGTCTGAATTCTTTTATCTTTTTGCTATAAACTACACATTACCTCGATTCTAAATTAAAAAATAAAACTCTAAATTAAATTGTTCAATTGCGTCATTAGTTACTTCAACTCTATGTCTAACTTATCAGAAGCATATAAACTGTATTAACAACAATTTCAACGGATTTTGTTATAAAATAAATTAAAGTAATGTCTATGGGATTTAATAAATTAAGTGTATGTGTATGTAACCAAATCTACATTTGTTCCTTTGGGTGACGTTATAAGCACCTTATAAGACGTTATAAGTATCAGCAGTATCTTGGAGGAACTATTCAACGTGTTATTCAAAAACTACAATTCATTTAATAATAATTAATGTCTTAGTTCAAATTATAAATGCAAATAATAACTAATTAATACAATTTTATTTTTCAAAAATTTGAAATAGATTTGTCAGATTTATTTTACACGTAAATAGGAACCTGATATTTACTGTTATTTGAACAAATAATTCATAATAGTCAATAGCAAATTGTTTTATAATGTTGTGTTGTCTGCAATTGTGTTGTGTACAAAATATGGACATAAGGGGGGCCAGTTAAATTCTAAAGAAAGCAAAACAGAGAGATAAGCAAAGTCATAAGTCAGGCAAGATATCTGCAGCAGGATATCTAATTTAGATCTGGATTTTGACAGAAATTACAGCTACTACAACAAAGTTATTTTTAAAATAAAGAAATATATATGTTACAAATACGTAATAAAATATACGTATTTCATTATATCTATTTTATACATATATTTATTTTGAGGCATCTTATTGTTTAATGCGGGAAAATGAGATCCGATTGAGTTTATTGCAATTTTCCTATTTGTTTTAATCAATTTTATTCCAGCCTCTTATTCAGTTGTTAAGTGCTTTATTTTTTCTGTATAATCAGATCAGAAAATGTGTTTTAAAACTGTCGAATCTTTATTGAATGAATGACTTTACCTACTTCAAAATAATTATGTTAAATAAGTAATAGCGAAATGATAAATAAATAAATAAATAATAGCAAAATAATAATAGCGTTAAAATTAATTTTCAAAAATATAATTTATAAGTACCAGTAGAAAACGGAGGACATTTTAATATGACAGAAAAACGTTCATTTCACAAGTTTGAACTAAGCAACCATGCTTTCAAACAAAGTTTTAGAATGCATTATATGCTCTGCCATCTGTCTCTTGGAAGTGGACATATTACTAAATCATAATTATGGTATCCTTTTACAATGTATAAGGTTTAACTGGAAGCAAAATATACCAAAATAAAACTTACACCTAGGAAAACAAAACAAAACAAAACAAAACAAAAAAAAGTCCTATAAATTTTAAGGGCCATCAGACATAGGGCAGTCTTCCTCAGCATAAAAATTTTTTAAAAAAATTATAGATTAGGGGCAAGCTGCAACCATTTTATATGAAAATCAATGAGCGAATTTAAGCAAAAATGAAAGCAGCAATTGAGGAAAATATTAACAAAGCAGAAAAAAACTGAAATTTTATAGTAATAGATTATTTTAAGTAATAAAAAAAGATATTTCTACATAACAAAAAAAGATGCTGAATTTTACTTATGTATTATCTCTACCTCTTTGGATCGTTCATTTTTGCCACCCAAACGGGATAGTAATTAGCAACGCTGACTGCGTACGGAAGGGCCCGCTTTCGAATCCCGGAAAAGGCATGGATGTTTGCAAATGTATAGTATCTGTGCGGTATGGGAACACTCTAAATGTGCGGTGAGCCAAAAGTCCTTTCGAGAGATTGTTGGTAGGGGAAGAGAGGTGAGAGAGCCTCGGATTCGTCCCTCCCTAGGTACTTCCCATGGAGGTAGGAAGTAAGATGGAGTCGCCCTAAACAAGTTTCTCCGTACTCTGCTCTGAAGCACCGGCGATCCCTACGTGGTGACCAAAACATTGGGTCATTTACCATTGAGTTCTATGGGATTTGACGCGTTCGGGTGTAAATATTTTGTAATTACGTCGCAAATATACATATAAATGTATAATAATTTATTTCCTAAACAGTATTGATTAATTGATTATATTATCTCCTAAGTTTAATTAAAGTAGAATTATTTTAAAAGTGTGCATCCATACTGGTAAGTTATATTTTGAAAGATGTTTTGAAGTAATTTGAAAGCAAAATGTTAATAATGTTTTAACGGGGACTGGAGTTAAATCATCACGAAGAAAATTATTTCAATTGTAAAAGGAAAAATTAAAATATGTAATTATTGTCATTGATCGGAAATTAGTTGACTTTTCAAGGGGAACAAACCAACTCCCGTTCAATGAACAATAATTGATAAAAATACGTAAATATGAAAGTGTTTCGTCTTTACTAGAGTTATAAGTTAAAGCCAAACCGGCAATTCTAGTCAGGCCAAATAATTCCGCGAATAGTTGCTACTCAAAGAACTTATTCTCATGAAGCATTTTAGTCAATTCAATTTGGAGCAAAAATCAATTACTGTAGAGAAATCCTGTAAAACTCGAGTAACCGTCCCCGACACTATCATCTTTATGTATTTAAGTACTATATTATTTGTAGAAATTAAACATTGGAAATTGTCATTATGAAAAACATATAAATGTATATATTTTCTTTTTCTACAACACTTCAGAGTCCTAAGTATGTGAAAACAACATATTTTTAAACAACATTTCATTCTGAACGGAATTAAATGCTATACTTTTCAAAGGACAGTTTTTCTCAGAATGGTTTAATTTGAATGAAATATTTTCACAAGTTTTCGTTAATTACATTAAAAAAAAAATTAAGGTAATTCGATTTTATTCAGTTAAGGTACAAAAATTAAGATCAAAGTTTATTGTATTATTAATATTAAAATTATGCATTATTTCTTTTCTATTTATAGAGCTTTCTTCCTAAAATACTTTCTTAAATATGACATGATTTTTTGGCTTCTTTTAAATCGAAAAATGTAAGTCAATTTATAATCAATGCTCTATTCGGTTCATTTTAAATTAGAGAATTATTAGGAATTAGCGAAATACTTTAAATAAGTATTTCGCTAATTTAATAATTAAAATAGGTATTAAATAGTATTTGACTTTCTCTGAACATTTCTAAAAGGGAATAAAATAAGTTTTTTTTTTTTTTTTTTTTTTTTTTTTTTTTTTTTTTTTAAGTATTATTTAAAACTTGTAACTGAGTTATTATAAAATGTAAAGGGAATAATTCTTTTAATTATACTTATCAGATTTTTTTTTTTTTTACCCTTCATTTCAAACAATACATATTCCAAAACTCTTTATTACGTTCTTAAGTGCGCATTTCATAGCATTTGGCTTTACAATACCTTTTAACAGATTGCTTTCCAATACGAACAATTCTCGCTTAAATAGTTTTATAAACGTATTTGTCAACAGGATTTCATTTATGTTTACAATTCAATATTAAGGTTATTATATATTTAGATAACATTTATAATCATTATAAATTAGATACATTTAATCATTAGATTTCTTCACAGTACTTTCACAGTTGTTTATAAGTGAATAAATTCTTCATTTCAAATACATTTATAAGTAATTTAATGAATATTTAAGTATTTTGTCAAAGGCAGATACATGCTTTTTGCAAGCACATGCATAAATATCCATACATATTTCCTATTTATCATTTCCGGCATGCGCAAATCTTTAATTTCTGTGCATTCACTATATTTTTCGTGTAAAGTAATTTACACTAATTTAGCATACACCCGACAGTTTTTACATAAAAAATATATATGAATATAATTTGAATGAAAATTATTAGTATTATTTTTAATACACACTCAAGGTCAGTTTTTCTTCAAAATTCCTCCACGATGGCATCTCTCTCTTTAGGCAGATAGCCCTTGCATGCGTTACTCTATTTAATAAAAACTTAATCTGACCTATGTGCCTAATTACAAATATTTTAACATACATAATTTTATATTACATTTAGCCATCAAGTTTCAAACTTTTCAAATCTTCTAGAAAATAAATTTTGGCAGATCTCTTTTAGAAATTTTCTTAAAATCTATATTTTTGTAGTGCAACAGCTTAGAATTTTTATAAAACAAATTCATAATCAAAATCGCTGTTGTTAGTTATCGAAAAATAACCAAGATGTGATTTTTGCGTAAATGTCAGTAAACTATACAAATTGCTATTATCCATCACACTATGAATGTTTCTTTCATGCGAGAGTGTCCCTTTTTCGATTTCTATGGAACTGTCGTGTGTCGAAATACTATCAGAATCTTGTCAAGCGAGCTTCTGAATGTAAACAAAGAACACCCCGTCTGGTGACCCAAGCTTCAAAGCAGTGCTTCCCTTCTAGCGCGGAATGGCCCCTCCTCCCTTTCCTACCTCCATGGTACTTCCCGTCAAAACTGGGGGGTGGAACTGGGCAAAGTCGTACTGTAACCTGTGGGGTGCCCCAGGCTCTTGTCAACGACAGTAGCAATTTTGATCTCTTGTCATCATGAATTTCGTGGGCTTGCTCTGATTTCAAAGACTTGATCTGATGTTACTGTAAATCAGGCGGGATAAATCACAACAACAAAACGTTCATTTTTACTGTTATTGATTTCCATAAAAAATGACTGTCCGCTAATTCCGTCTTTGTAAAGATGTTTTTGCTCCTGAAGAAGCGGGACCAATGTCAGGTAGTTCTAGAAAACAGACTTTTATTCAAATCTACTTCTAATATAAAATTACTTTCTCGCCCAGTTTTAAGTATCTAAGACTCATGGGCTATGTGAAATTGGTGAACAATGAACGATAAAATTTTTCGAGCTTTCTTAGATATACATCAAAAGAAAATAATTAACAGTATGCTCACGTAGAAGCAGAATTTCTTTTCAAGCTCCTAATTTTCAAAATTTCTTTCACAGATGGCTGGGCGTGCTAATTACTGTTTACTTCAAACTGAATTTATGCGTCGCTCTAATTCAAAACCGAGTCAAAATGAAAAGCACAAGGTTACTCTTTATGCGAACCGTGATAAGCTGAGAAGTGTCTGGAAGCAAGAATTTGATAATCAATATGAGTTTTATCTTGCGGCTCTGGTAACGCTTTTATTTTCTTTTATTACTTCATATCACAAGAAAAAGAAATTAAAACTTTATCATACGGACATCTATAAAGAAAAGTACCAAATAAATAAAGTGAACTAGGCTTACTGTAGTCACTGCGAGTATCCACGGAATAGCCAACATTGTAAACTGAAATAAAATGTAGTTTATTTATAAAGTTTAGAAATGATAAACTGTGTTTATAAGTTTAGAAATGATAAACTGTGTTTATAAGTTTAAAAATGATAAACTGTGTTTATAAGTTTAGAAATGATAAACTGTAATTAAACTTTAGATAGACTGGTAGCGAATGATCGCTAAGTCTAAAATGCCAACTGAAAATGAGATGTAAAAGACTTCTTTTATTTAAAACTAAGAAGAACATAAGGCACACCTGGTGCTTACAAATCAGCCAACTACTGGTGGCGAGATAACTTAAAGTACAGTAAGTTCAGATGTAAAATTTAAATTCAAATAAGTTAGTTGCCGAAGGCTACATAAATCAATGAATGGTAAGTTGGCTCAAAATTTAACCGGCGTGGATATCAAATATCGGCAATTACATTGCAAGGCCGAAAACTACACATTTCATCTTATCTAACAACCTAGTAGCGTGGTCTTGAGAGGGAGCACAACCTTAAACACACGCGAACTAATTTGCATTCTAGCGAGAAAACGGAAGGGAGAAGTGTCATCAGAGATCCAAAAGATAAAATATCTGGTTAGCTAACATAAAGGAACCTTAGGTACTGGTTAATGTTCTTAATTAAAAAAAAAAAAAAAAAAAAAAACTCAAATGTTATTCCAGCTTCATTATTTGAAGACAATAAGAAGAACTCAGTATTTATAATTATTGAATGTTAGACAGGCTACGTTAAGTTACGCAGCCATGATTTATCCTCCACGTGCCTTGAAAGAGTTGCATTTCGATTATTGTCAACCCGAAGTCACTTGCAATCAGTGAATTTAATGGTTTAAATGTAATGAAATTTTTAATGAATTTAATAGCCTTAAAGGTCACTAGTATTCTCATGTTTAATTTTACTTTACTGGCCTTTAGGGACTGGACTGCCAATGACTAACTAATAACGACTAATCACCGGTTACAAACTACTTTATTCAACTTTACTTATAGAATATGTTTAACATAAAATAGGAATATTTTTTGAAAAATTCAAATTGAAATATTAACTGATAATTTAAATATATACTTCTGTTTGTAAACGCTTGTGGCGATATCATTTGTGATTATGAAGCGCCATCTGTGAGACTTCGCTTGCGATTTTTCTGTCGCCAGAGTGACAACATTAAGCAGCTGTAAAAATCAAAATAACAGTGAATGATTTTCTTTTTGTGAAATTCGATATACAAAAAATGTAAATAAATATTAATCTTATCGGAGTCACAGAAGTGTTTAGCATTTTTCTATATTCCTAAAAAATTTCGCGAAAACGTATTTTTCTCTATACATAACTTATCCCATCTTGGAATTCATGCAGCAACGAAGCTGGTGACAAAAAGATTCATTTGGCCTGGCATAAACAAAGATTATCAGCTGTGGCCTAGAACATGCTTGCAATGCCAACGAGCTAAAGTTTACAAACATACCCGTACTCCAGCTGCTGAATTTAAAGTTCCCGACGTTTCAAGCAACTTCACATCGATATTGTTGGTCTTTTAGGTATCTGCTTACCATCATTGATAGATTCACTCGGTGGATACCTTTGGAAGACTGTGGAACAGGCTACGTTACGTTACGCGCCCAAGATTGCATCGCAAATGCTCTCGTCGAAAATATGCAGATTCCATCGCAAATGCTCTCGTTGCGACTTGGATTTCAAGATTTGGAATTCCAAAGAAGATAATATCCGACCAAGCTCGACAATTTGACAACGAACTCTTCCAATCCTTGAGAAATACCTAGGTTTCAAAGCTAGCAGCATCATAGCTTGTCATCCACAATCTCATCGTTTAATCGAAAAGTAACAAAAGATTACCCCCAAAAATTAGATGCTAAGGAAACCAATAATAAGCAATAGAATCAGGATAACATAAATTAAACTTGGAACAATAATAAATATAAGGAAATGCATGTAAGTAAATCTACATAGCTTCTGCAAGTTTACTTGTGTTGATTTTCCCTTTGTTTATTATTATTTCTTTAGCATCAAACTGTCGGTCGTTGTTGATCTATCGCCTTCGTAGTACTGGTGGCGTTCAGACTAATTTTTATTTAAAAGTTATTTGAATTTATTGCGCATACCCACATTAATAGCCATGAACATCTGGGTACGGCTGAAGAACCAGCCTAAACGGGTGCTAATGTCCTTCAGTTTAATTCTAATTAAAAATAATTTAAAGACTTTAAATTCTGATATTTTTAGTTTTACAAAGATATGAGCGAAAAATCATTTCAGCATTAAATTTAAAAAAAAATCTAAATCTAGTTTTAAGAAACATCCTTCACCACACTGTATAGTCATCCACAAACAGTGTGTTTACAAAATTTGAACTAAATAGCTTATCAGGAAGTAGTAGTTTTAAAATCCATGACAAAAATTTCACGGCACTGACAAACGTCATGAATGAACTAAATAAAAGTTTCTAAAAATAGCAAAATCAAATGGCAGGGGGGGGAGGTAATTTAATCACAAATTATTGCCACGGAAAAACTTAATTAAAGACTTATACGTGCATTTATTTCGCTGGATCGCTTGGGGAAGGTTTGCCTAAGTATTTTCCTCAAGGGAAAAAATGTTTTATTTTAATAAAATAAGAAATTTCTGAAAGTAATAAACATCTGTGTTAAATATTAAATAAAATATTATAGCTTCTTTTATTCGACATAATAAAATCTTATAGCTTTATTTATTCGACATAATAATTATAATTTTTTAGCAGGTTGTAATATGATAGTTTAGGGTTCTACTTGTATAGAAACTGAAATCAATGTCTTTCAGACCCTACTTGAAAGAGCAAGCTATCGCTCTAGTCTGAAAACAAAATTACAAAAACCTTGCGAAGGTTACAATAACACATTTTTTAACTCTTGAAATTTAACAGAAGGCATTATTTGTGCTACAGATAGAAAATTCTGCCCTTCGCAAATATTTAAATAACATAAACTGAAATTCAAATTTAAGTAACGTAGCCGGAGACTACACTAAGTGATCTACTTCAGCTGGATCAAATAATTAACTGAAATTCAAATTTAATTAACGTAGTCGGAGACTACACAAAGTGATCTAATTAAGCTGGATCAAATAATTAACGGCGCGCTTTTGAAGTCGGCTAGCAAAATTGCTAAATTCGAAATAAACTTTAACAGTGCTGGTGATAGGACGTAGGTTATAAACGAGGTTGCCAAATAAAGCTGTAAAACATTCAAACCCTCATCTTAAGTATACTATAACTAATTTGATTCTAATGTACTTAAGTAGTGTACCGTAGTGTACTACAACTATCTGGTGAGGACTACGGGAAGAGGAAATTATAGTACAGTTTCAAATCATAATAATAGATTAATTAACATAAACTCCTACAATAAATAAGCAATATATATATATATATACACTGAAGTGACAAAAGTCATGGGATAGCAATATGCAAATATACAGATGGCAGTAGTATTGCGTAGAAAATGTATAAATGCGAAGTGCTTTGGCAGGGCTTTCATTTGTGTTCAAGTTATTCATGTGAAAAGGCTTTGACATGATTATGGCCGCACGACGAGAATTAATAGACTTTGAACGCGGAATGGTAAATGGAGCTAGAAGCATGGGTCATTCCATTTCGGATATCGTTAGGGAATTCAACATTCCGAGATCCACAGTGTCAAGAGTGTGCCGAGAGTATCTAATTTCAGGCATAACATCCCTCCATGGACAGCGCAAACGACCGAGACCAGTGACGTCTGCGTAGGGTTGTCAATGTTCACAGACAAGCAACACTGCGTCAAATAACCGCAGAAATCAATGTGGGACGTGTCTGATAAGACAGTGCGGCGAAATTTGTCTTCCTTGAGCTATGCCAGCAGAAGACCGACTCGAGTGCCTTTACTGACAGCACGACATCGCCTGCAGCGAATCTCGTGGGCTCGTGAGCATATCGGTTGGTCCCTAAACGAATCAGGGCTAAAGAAAGAGAAGGGCTGGGTCATCCCTTTGAGAAGAACGATGCCGACACGAACCCCTCTTGGGGAGGATACCGGATGTTATGTGACATCACTGGGTTCGTCCCGTCGTCGACTGACCAGAGCATCAGTGCGAAAGATTGAATCTTTAGTCTTGGATTCTCTTTCTTTAGCCCTGTTAGTTTCAGAGAAAGAGGGTGTTGTTTTTTTTTTTTTTTTAATTATTATTATTTTTTTTATTATTAATTTTTTTTTATTTGAAAGTTATAACTGATGATACTTTTAAATGGGATTTTGTATTTCGAAAGTTCTTGTAATGAGAAATCATTGAAAAAATGGTATCGTGTGCCGTTGCTAACCTGTAGCAATACGTATCATAATACGAAAGAAACTAGCGTGGTATTTCATAGATTTCCGTACAAAAATATTCAGTTAACGAAAGAATGGTTGCATAGGTGTCGAAGAGCGGATATTGTTAACACAAAGAGTGCTCGAATATGCAGCATTCACTTCACTGAATCTGATTATGAGGATTGATATGAAAATAGGTTGCTAGGATTACCGACAAAAAAGATACTGAAGTCAACTTCTATTCCAACTGCTTGTATTCCTGACTTGGTTATTTATCAGAATACACCAAGGCAGCAAAAGCAACAAAAAAGAAAAAATTTACAAAGTGCATTTGAAAGAATTCAGAATTTAAGTCCTAAAAAGGCATGTCTGAAACTTGAAAACGATAACAGTAACAGCTATGAGGAGCTCACTGAAAATAATATTACTCAGCAATGTTGTAACTGTTCCAACCTCCAGAAAAATGTGAATGATTTAATCACAAAATTATCAGCTCTTGAGAATAAGGTTTTCTGTTTTACAGACTGAGAGAAAGCAGCATTTTAAAACTATCTCCCAGCAAAGAAAAAGATTTAAAAGGAATAGAAACTAATATTAGAAGAAGTTCAGAAACTGAGAAAAAGACATTAAAAAAGTGAATCAAGAAAATGAAAAACTAAGAAAAATGAAAACGTATATTCAAAACATATTACCGAAACTCAAATAAATGCATTAATGAAAAAAAAGCGAATTAAATGGTCTCCAGACGACATTTCAAAAAGCATAGTAATCAGATCGTTATCCGTAAAGTCATACGACTTCTGGAAAGAAAAAATGGGTATTCCGCTTCCAAGTGCAAGTACACTGAAAAGATGGTGCTCAAGATTCAGTTGCATTCCCTGGAATTTTAAATGATGTATTGCTATTGATGAAACAAACTTGCCAAAATGCAACTGACGAAAGAAAGATTATGCGTATTAAGTTTCGATGAAATTCCATATAGATTCAAGACTCTGTTATGATTCAAAATTAGGATCAGATATTAAGGTCCTTTTAAAAATACTCCAATTTGCATTGGTTCGAGGACTCATTTTGCAATGGAAACAGCTCATTTATTTTTATTTTGATCGTCAAATGAAAGGAAAATCTTCTATCTTCCATTTTGTTTGCACATGAATCGTCTGGGCTTCGAAGTCAAAGCAATTGTATCCGACATGGGAGGTAGTCAGACCCTTTGGAAAGAATTACAAATTTCAACAGATAAATCTTTCTTTTACAGTCCCAAGTTCAACACCAAAATATGGTTTTGCTGATATGCCGCATTGCATAAAGCTTTGAGAAACCATTTTCTTGATAAAGGTTTTATTCTTGGAAATGGTACAGTTATAACAAAGACGTTATATATGAAGTACTCAATAAAGATATAGGAGAAATTAAACTGTGCTATAAACTGAAACCCCCAATTTTTATCTGTAAAAGGGAACGAGAGATAGAAGGTAGCACCAGCAAAAGCATTATTTTCCTCCACAACGGCTAAAGCAAGCATTTGGCTGGTAATGCTGAAATAAGTAATTTTTTTGCGATGGTTGATGATTTCTTTGAAATCATGAATAGTAGTGCACCATTATTCCTTAGCAATAAGCTTTTAAAAGCTGCTTTCGGCATTGAAAGCTATTATGAAGTACAAAAAGAAAAATTAAATGGGATTAAGCAAATGATTTTTGATCTCACAGAATGCGGAAAGAAGACAATGAGTTACCTTCCCAGAAAGGTATTATCATATCGATAAATTCGCTCTCCGGTTTATTTGACGACGTAAAATCTATAAATTTGAAATACTATATTTTAACATCAAGACTGAAGATGTATTAGAAAGCTTGTTTAGCCAGATTCGGGGTCTAGGGCGTTTTAATGACCATCCGTCTCCATCAGACGTAATAATTCGCTTGTAAAGGTTGCTATTGGCAAACAAATTGCCTAGATTGTCGTTAAAGGCAAATGCTAATGACTGTGAAGATGTGAAGAAAGTTGAAGCATATTTGACAAAACAGCTGTTAGAAACAGCTTTTTCTTCAGATGAAAAAGCCAAATGTTTTTAGTCTTCCTCATACGAAGATGATTCAATTAAATTAAGAAGACATCTATGATGAATGTACGTCGCTTCCTTGGGAAACCGAAATTTATGATTCAACGAAAGATGTATCTGGCATATGAAGGAGAATCGCTCGCTTATGTGGCAGGTTATACTGCATATCGCGTGAAAGATAAAGATCCTACTTTGGGTGAGAAATATCAAAAAAAATTCATAGATATTCCTAACGACTCAAATTGGATATTTGTATTATCTAAGGGAGGCCTTAACTGTACCATCACCAGTTTGGATGGAAACGGTGATGAAAGTGGAAAATGCTTTTCTGTTCTTTTCATGGCAGTTCTTTTCGAAAGGTAGAGGTGTAATTCAGAATCTCATTTCTGAACTTGAGAAACGTTTTCCCTCCGTGAATAAGAGTGCAATTCGTTTATTTTGCCGTTTACGAACATTTATAAGGGTTCGGCACTTGAATAGGAATGCAACCCTTGTATCGGCAAGAAAAGCTGACCAGAAAGCAAATAAATGGATAAAGAGTAATAGAGGATTATCGAACCAAACTATATAGGAAAAAAAATCATGTAAGTTGATTCATATTATTCCTACCAAAAATAATAATTTGAATCATTACTTTGTTTATTATTCACTTAATTTGTGACCTAATTTATGCACGTTTCAGTTATTTATTTGGACTACTATATAAAATATTATATTTATTATATACTTAATTTAGACTGCTAAATTTTACTATATAAAATAAACCATGAAATTCTGAATAAACATAAATTAGTATCAGAGCATATACTTTTAAAATGTAAGAATACATGCTATTATTCCAAAATATAAATACTATTTAAAATATTTTCATTATTTTTTTGAGTAATTGACGTTAAATAATAATACTGATACTGATATTCCATAATAATGCTTTCATAATAGACATTGCAAAAGCTTACAAAATTCTACTACTCATTATCAACGCTAATTGAAAAGCAAAAATGGAAGAAGTGAAATTTGTTTCGTTTTAATGTGTTATAAAATCTATTATTAGCATTAACTAATTTTTAATTAGATAGATGTGTAATGTCTTTAGCATGTATTCTTAAAATGTATTTGCATATTTTTATTTAATATTTCTATAATGCAAATTACTTTGCGACTAACTTATATTGTAACGCAAAAAGAATTCTTCGTAAATGTAGAAATTTACGTATGTTATCGGTGGGTTATTATTTACATATATTTAAAAAGATGATTATGAAAAAGAATTACTACATTTAGGGTACACTCGACCTAAAAAATTAGTTATGTTTACGCATATGTGTTAATTAAAAAATAGTTATGTTTATGCATGTTTTACTTACGTTTTACGCATATTAGAGTTTAACGTAAATACATTTCTAGTTCATATATAAATGCATGTATATTGCAATTTCATGAGCTAAAATCTCGGCTCATACTCGTTATTAAACTATTTTTCAAAGCGTTTTGATTCTCAAGCAAATGCTTAAGAAACTGAACAGCAGAACTGAGCAAGCGAACCCAACTACGTCATCAGTCTCTTTCGCTTTCAGCCGCGAGAAGCTGATGAACTAGCCCTTTAGCCCTGTAAACGAATAGAAAACCGTGGCTTGGTCAGATGAGTCACGATTTCAGTTGGTAAGAGCTGATGGTAGGGTTCGAGTGTGGCGCAGACCCCACGAAGGCATGGACCCAAGTTATCAACAAGGCACTTCAAGCTGGTGGTGGTTCCATAATGGTCTGGGCTGTTTTTACATGGCATGGACTCGGTCCTCTGGTGCAACTGAACCGATCATTGACTGGAAATGGATACCTTCAGCTACTTGGAGATCCCATGACTTTTGTCACTTCAGTGTATATATATACGCATAACTAAATTTCGTAACGAATTAATTTATATCATATTTATTTTGTAAATCGACACTACGATAATTTCCTAGTTCAGTTAAAATATTAAATTAAATTTGAATACTTCTATTCGAGTCTCATTCATTATTTCATGTAAAATTTGATTATGTTTAATACAAAATGTATAATAATTTGATACATATAAATTAATTATCTACAATTAAATGCAATAATAAATAATAATTTCTTATTTAAGAGAGCTGAGCAAGATGTTTCTTATTTGATACAAGAGCACAATGACTTATTGAAAAAACTGGAACACGCAGAGTCCTTAAATATTGAACTGAGAAAAGAAATACGTGTTCTAGGTCTTGAACTTTACATGATGTATCAGCGGGATGCCCATAATTCTAATGTCATTGATAATCTGCACGTATGTAATGTTCTTTTAGTTTTAAAAAACGTAAAGTTTTGTATGATATTTTTGAATTCACGTTACAAGTTCTGTCTTTTATAAGAAATTCGTGTTTCAAATTGTATATGTTCTGCTGAAATTGTAACATTTAGAAAATAATTAGCATGTAATTTTATTAATAATTCGAGTAAAATGTAGTATGATTTGATCCTGATAATACTTCCTTACATTAAGTTTTGTTATTTACTTTATTACTGGGTTAAAAATTTACTGGCATATAAAAATCGCGTCTCAAAACAGAAACACTCTTTTAAGTTAGAAAAAAGAGGAAATATCATTTATTATTCATCATAGCTTAGTTTCTCGAATATGTTTCGTTGTTAACGTCGTATTAGCAATTTTGCAGTTAGGAATTTGTATTTCGCTAATATCGATGCCCAAAGGTCTCTTTTCCTTTATTGTTATAGTAGTTAATACTTTCTACGGAAGTAGAAAGATTTGCTCTCCCAAAGATTTGCTCTCGAATACGTATGCAGGGCCATCTTAATGCATGAGCCCACTGGGTACTTGCCTGGGTCCCCGGGAGTATCCCATGTTAATCCATTTACATATCATTTCCGTGAATGCTGTCGTAGGGGTGCCAGGACACAGGTTTGCCCAGGGGACCCGCTGTTACGACGGCATTGGTTGTCTGAGCTTAACAGAAAGCATGTACTTAACAAATGTGCAATTTAAATCAGAATGAAGTCCGAAAGCTATGCTACTTACAGTGGAATGTTGCTGCTTAACAAAATTCCTTTTCTTGGCATTCATTATAATGAGCTGCTTTGTTTATTTCAACGTGTAAAGTAAATAAAAACAATAAAAGCCAGTTTATCTTAGGCAATTCTCTACGAAAGTATTTAAGACAGATTACCTCGTGGGACTTAGTTCGCTGTGCTTTGAATATTGTACTTTTCTGTCACCTCATGTAAATCGTTGTCGGGTTGGTAGAAAGAAATATATCAGCGAAGTATTTCCAGCTACTACTTTTGCAAATCGATTGCTTGAAAAAATATTGTCAAGTTATGTTAAATTTATTTACCCTTAAATAAATGACAGCTAGTTTTAGAGAGGAGAATGAGGAAATAGTTCATAGTCAAATTTGATAGAAGATTGCATTTAATCAGTGATAGATTTGTCATTGTTGTTGTGGCATAGTCCGTTGCTGAATTTTGCAATGCACGTATTATGTTGAGACATATAGGTATGCCTTACATATCTGTCTGGAATGGAATGGATCCATAAGCTTATGGCAAAAGCATGTAAGAGCCATCATTTTGCTGGAAGAGTACCTTTTTGTAAGACTTTCTAAGTTTAGTGGTTTAATCCAATCGGTCGCTGATGGGCCATCTTTTAGTTTCAGTACCGGCTGGAAAAACCCATGGAAGACTTTGCTTTTGTACCCATTCAAAGTAGTTTAGCTATTTAAGTTTTGCATGCATAGTTGAGTATAGCTTTTTAACGTTCCTTGTTCAAGTGACATTTGTAGTGGGTGGTGGAAGCGTTATTTGAATTAAGTAGTGAAACTCCCAGGTGGCATAGGCTGAGGAAAATCAGCCCGTGCAACGAAGAAATTTTCCTTTGACAGCAATAACTATTCGGGTCCTGAGATATTATTACTCCTGAGAAGTATTGCAGTATGGGACATTTTTATTTTATCCTAGCTACAACAGTGCATGCGCTCAGTTAATCTGATACACGATGGGAAAAATCTTCAAGAGCATTTAGTTTAAGCTAGAGCGATTAGCCTTGCTTTTCCACTTATATACATTCTTCGTGTATTGGATCTGACTTCCTTTTGACTTTTGATTCTGGAGACTTTTCAAATGCGTTTTCAAAGATGCGAGTTCGACGGGATAATCGAACAACTTGGTAAGACAATACAATGCAAATACAAGAATTAAAAAGTGAAACTGAAACACTTGGCGAATACCGCAGTGCAAATTTCATACGCCTTCGCCTGGGAATCACAATTTCGAATTTTATCAGTAGCAACACAAAGCGAAATTTGAATTTTAAATGAAACTTATTTTGTAGGCCCTAATTTCAGATATTAAGAGTGAATGGACATAAACGGATGATATATCGAAGTTCAAAAGAACACGAATTTCCGGCTTTTGTATCTGTTAACAAACTAGCAGGCAGGTCTTTAATGATGCATCTTGGGCCATATTTTCCAGGCTCATATATGCATACCCAGAGAAGTGAAGAACTTTATATATAGTGTAACTAATTATTAGATCTAAAAGGGAATTATCTGAAAAGGATTTGGGAGCGTTAAAAGAATCGTTGCCAAAATAATACATAATAGAACGAACATTTAAACTACTGCAGAATTTAGTCTTTTGAACACTGTACAGCCATTATGTTATTTTTATGCTGGAAACAAGAAAAATGTGCAATGCCCTTACCGGCACTCGAACCTGGACCGGCCGAATACGCACCGAGTGTGCTACCGTTACACCACGAAAGCATGATTGAAGGAGAGAGAAAGTATCTTACCTTTTAAAAGGGGATTGGGGATTAGAGGAACCAATCGCCAAATCCTGATAGTGACGACTTCTTGTCCATCAATTTTTAATCCAGGCGCAACTGTAGAATCATTAAATTATTTTGAAGCAGGAGACAAAAAATGAGTAATGCCCTCGCAGGGTCTCGAACCTGGGATCTCTCGAATGCGCGCCGAGTGTGCTACCTTTACATAAAGAAGGCATGCTGCAAGGAGGAGAAAATACCATATAACTCGCCCATTTCTGTAAAACTGGAGGAGCTTCACACAGGCTTAACCTGTTCTCAGCCTAAACACCAGAGCTAGCTTTTCAGGTAAATAGCTGAAAGATGGTCAGCCACCCAATATCGTCACAGCCTATTTTCGATGCTGTTGAGGACTGGAATTCTGTAAAGGGTACTCAGTGGTGATTCCCCAAAGAGTTCGGCTTTTGCTTACTTGACAGTGAGACAGCACAGCCCTATTATAGTACAATGATTCTTTTGTAGCCAGCTTTTGCAGCATGTAACGCCCTAATGGAGGGGAAAAAAATCTGAAAGCTTTCAGATTTTATATTACGCCCAAAGGAGCGTTTTTTTTCACGCTAGAGATAAAAATATTTTATTCCGCAGTGTGCTGTCACTGTTCGCATTGAAACCATTGAGTTTCTTAATCAAAAAGTTTAAAAAATATGCAATAGATAATAAAACAAATTCACAGTTCAAGACTGGGGCTTCCAGGTGCTTATATTCGAGTGGAGAATTACGTATTCAAAATTCGATAGCTCGTATCATTGTTTTTAGTCCAAAGGGGCTTTGTCCCTGAAGGAGTATTGCTTTCGTTTTGCGATTTTGCGTTGAATCATTTTAAATGTCCGTTTCACTTTTCAAACTGTTGCCACCAAATGTTAGAGTCTCGCCTTATATTTGAAGAAATTAAATAATGAAAAATCTGCATATTTCTTGCATTTTGATAAAACAATGGCACGTAGAGCCATCGAATTTTGAATGACGTAATCCTCCTACGAATATGGGCATGTGGAAGACCAATATTAAAATTTGGAATTTGTTTTATTATAGATTTCATGTTTTGTAAAAACTTTAACGAATTTTTGAGTCACAAACTCAACGATTTAAAAGCTAGCAATGGCAACACTCTACGGGGGGGAGGGGAACTTTTTTATCTCCAGCGCGCGGAACTGTGTTTTGGAAATTCTAAAGATATGCTTATTTTAAAATTATTTTGCGACATTGCTATTGAACTGAAATTTATGGTTTAAGTGCAAAAAAAACATGATATTTAATAAATAAAGGTAATACACAAAACGTTAAAAAACGTCCCTTTGGACGTAATTTAAAATCTGAAGCTTTTCCGGTTTTTTTGGATGGAGGGCAACGCGAGAAATATACTAGGCACATTCATGCAGATGCTTCATTATTTAATTTCTTTAAATATAATACAGGACGATAATATTTGGTGACAACAATTTGAAAAGTGATATAGCGATTTGACGCAAAATGCCATTTCGAGAATAATAGCACTTCTGGGCTAACATCCCTTTGAACTAAAAATCTGAGCCCTCTACTTTTTAAGTTGTGAGCAGCCCAAGAGAAAAGATGATTTTGTAGGGGTTAAAGATTAACTGTTCAGAAATATAAACACTAATTTATAGTTTACCAAGGTGAATAACGCATAATAGAATACTTTTTTTTCAGAAAAAAATTTATGAATGTTTGGGTTCTTACTTTTTTCTCTGTTTCTCTACTTTTTTTTTTTTTTTTTTTTTTAAGTCAACTACGTTTTGATAGAGGCCGCTTAGACGGTATACTAATTAGGGCAGCCGACTGCGATACCAAAGACCTTGGGTTCGAATCCCGTAGAAGGTATGGTTACATTTGTCTGTCCTCTCATGTGAGGCAAAGGTGGCCCACCTATTAAGTCTCTCCAAAATAAAGTTACCATCGCTTCTGGCATTAGTGGCGAACGGTCTGTGGACGGTTTAAGCCTGCCATTGAAAATAATAATAATAATAATAATAATAATAATAATAATAATGGGGTGAAACTTAGAGGTTCGCTTTTGGCATCAGTTGATTTTAATCAAGCATTGCTGCTTTTGGGGATAAGGATTTGTACGAAAATTTCCTTTCACTGGCATAAGTATCGGGGCAAATAAATAAATTTGTCGAGAAAAAAATATGCCATGCAAAATATAGGGTTAAAAAGATTAACAGAGATTTTTATATAACACTTTATTATGAATTTTATATGAAATTTTCACCAAAATATGGTATCTTTATCATTATTATTTATGATTTCCAAAAACGAATAAATAACTGCTCAAGTTACAAATTAGCAGTATTTTGAATTTTAAATTATTTTTTTAAAAAACTTATGTACTTATCTGTTAAAATTCATGTACTTATCTATTAAAATTTACATTGCTTAACAATTATTTGATTAATCTTTTTTATAAAGTTGTATTGGTAGTTTTGAATGAAAAATATAGTCTAAAAAATAAGTAAAGGGGAGATTAATAACTGAGTAAGGTTACCTATATTGAAATTGTTTAATTAATTATTTTCTTTCACTTTGTTAATCTAATATTTTTTAACAATAACTAAATATTGTTTTGTTTCAATTATTTAAATACTTTTAATATAGGTAACCTCGTGCAGTTACTCATCTTTCCTTTTCTAATATATTTAGATTATATTTTTCATGAAAACGTGCCAGTGCAACTTCATGAAAGAGATTAATTAATAATTTTTAATAGTTAAGTACATACATTTAAAATTATGATTAAGTTTCCTTCTTGCATTTTTAGGAAAAAAATATTAAATAATTCAAAAAATATAAAATACTGAGGTAAAAATATTTATCGTTTCTTCTTGCGCTCACAAATCATTAAGAGAATATGCAACTTTTAAAGGCTGAAAATTAGATGTCTGCAATGTTATCATCATGTGATTATTTGTAGGTGCTTTATTTTTTTACCACGTTATGTTTTACGAAGATGTTTTAAAATGGTGATGCTTTTGAATCGCTTTGTTTTCGACGACACGTGTGAAAGCTTTTTTTTAACTTTTAAAAATGCATAATATTAAATAGGAAACTTATTATGTATCATATTATTAATTGAAAACTACTTAAGCAAAGTGTAAAAGTTCGAAATTAGCTAAGATACCTGATTTTGATAAATGAAAATGAAATCCTAACAATACATGCAGAAATTCTTAAGCAGAGTACTTAGAAGAGGGAAGTAAGTTAATTGTTTATATAGATTTTTTTTGTGAGAGAAAAGCAGAAATAAATTAGAAGTTGTCACATATCAGAAAATTAATAATCAGAATACAGATTTCAACAAAGATATCCAAGTTTGCTGAAATTTAATTCTATCTCTGCTACACAATTTGCATGCTTGCCAATTTTTCTGAAACATAATTTTTTATGTTTTACTATTTATTATTTGCTGTTTTATTTTTAGTAATTCATTATCATTAAAGACTTACTGGGTTCAATTTAAGTATATGCTCAAATTTGTTTTTCAAGACAATCACTGTTACCGTTAAATTGACGGATTAGATAGAGCAGACTCTCTCTATCAGTATTTGGCAGCATTTACATGCACTCTGTTGAGGTTAAATTGTTTGAGAAATTTTTTTTATTTATTTTTTTTTTTATTCTGATACTCGGAAATTAGTGGCTTCATATACAGGGTCTATATCAGTACAGCGTTGACAAACATTTTAGGAGAGATAGAGTACACCTGGACGATGGGAAATCACATAGAAATGCATGGTCGGAAACGCTTTCTTGGGGCGGCAGTGACGACACAAAAGTCAAGAAAGAAAGATCACAAACAGTGAGACTATAAGGTATTTCTTCCACTTTCCTAGCGTGCCTTCCTGGTGTAGTGGTTCTGCACTCTGGGCTGGTATTCCAGAGGTCCGTGATTCGATTCCCGGCGAAGGCGGTTGCTAATTTTTCATCTTGCGTGTTTCCAAAAAATCCTAATGTCTCTACAAGACAAAGCAATTTTATTATGCTTAGTACAGCAGAAACCTACAAATAACAAAAATAAACAACGTTCGTCATTAAAGAAGGTGTTCTAAATTACGACCCCGGACAGTGATGCAGGCCTCACTTCTCTGGCGCATGGAAGATGCATGACGCACGGTTCCTGCACCAAGGTCCGGATCGTAATTTCGAACAACTTCGTTGATGATGATAGTTGTCTCTTTATGTTGTTTTTGTTATACTCCGTGGAATAAACATGTTTTCTCACCCCGTTCGTGTCCTTTCTTGACTTTTATGTCGTCACTACTGCCCGAGGAAAGCGTTTCCGACCATGCATTCCTACATAATTTCCCATCGTTTAGTTATATTTGTAACATCGTACATTGCATATTGCTGTACCAAATCTGGTTTATTTTGATAGAATTTTCAAAGAATTATTTTCGGAAAAAAATAAACTAAACGATGAATAACTGTTTAATGGCATGATGTAAGTGTCGTGACACTTCTCTAAGATTTACTTTCATCATTCCAGGTCATTTTATCTGCCGTGGAATTGGTTGCCTCTAAAGAGGTGAATCTGTGCCGATATTTATTTACGTTCTATTCTACATCGGCATTAATTTATGTAAAAGTCTCTTTCAGAGGGGTAGTCTACAGGAAGCGTTTTCATGAAAAGTTTCATTATATTCACTAATTCTTTGTAAGCAGTTTTAATTAAATGGGATCATAAAATCTATTCAGGCACGTCTGTTCATCCAATGTTGAAATTAATTCGCTTTATAAACCCATAATAAGTTTATATTAAAAATATTATTTAAAGTATCTTTTAATAGTTAAATGAAAAAAAAATCTTAAATAAGTCTGACTTAATTTTTCAGTTGGTTGATCACTGTGCAATGGAAACAAATCTGTTAAAATCAGAAGTGCAATTCATGACAAATGTAATAGTGCAAGAAAGCTGTAATCAGGAGCACATGAAAGCCATGCTGTCAGATCAATTACCACTTTTGAGAAGTAAAATTGAAGAGGGTGCAGGAATTATGTGTATACTGAAGGTAATTTTTTTTTATCACTTTGACCAATGTTTTGAAATTTTATCAATAATAAAGATGATGTACAACAATTTCTTAATTTAAATGCAATTCCACACTTGTTTACAAAGAAAATTCTAGGAATATTAGAAAAACCCTTCCACGATCAAATAAATGAAAGAGCATACTTTATTTTGAAATAGCGAAATAATAATTATTGTTTTAACTACACTGAATCTAGGTTATTTTTTGAAAAATGTCACTAATTCTCAATTCTAGGTATAGTTTTCGAATCGGCGAAAAACATATTTGCTCAGTAATTAGACTAAATGTAAGAACACTTTAAATTGCTTGTCAATGACGAATTAAAAACTGTTTCAGAAACTAAAAAATATTTTCAAGCTTAATAGAAGTTTAATCTTGAAATTGCCGAAATTATTTGTAATTACAAATGGCAATGAGGAAGAGCAGGCAACTAACCTACATTCTATAACAAAAAAATCGACGCACCAAGAAGGAGTTGTCCGATGGAGACAAAAATTGGTGAATAGGAAGGTTATGTACGGAATAGAAAATGATAAACTTTCAGAACAATTTAATGATTTATTTCAGAGTTAACGAGCAAATAAGGTATAAAGTATCATTAAGTAACGAGCTCAATAAGATGTTGACCCACCTCTAGCCTGGATGCAAGCTGCCAGAAGTCGTGGCAGACTGATAAAGCTTCTAAATAGTCTTCTGAGGTATTTCTTGCCAAATTTGCTACAATTGGTTGGCTAAATCATCAGCATTCCCTGGTAGATGCAGGGAATGCCCTCCCATCATATCTCAGACATGCAGGATGGGATAGAGATCTGGTGATCTGGCTGGCTAAGGAAGTGTTTGACAAGCTGTAAGACAGGTCATAGTAAAACGTGCGGTATGTGGTCTGCCATTATCTTGATGAAAAATAAAGCCAAGGTGCTGCAAAAGGTACGGTAACAAAACAAGACTCAGAATGTCGTTGACGTACCGCTATGCTGTAAGTGTGCCTCTAATGACGACCAAAGGGGTCCGGCTATCAAAGGAAATGACACCCCTGACCATAACTCCTGGTTGAGAGCATGTTTGGCATGCTATAGTGACGGCAGGATCGGTCCGCTGATCTGGGCGTCTCCAGATACGTCTTCGATGATCATCATGACACAGTTGGTAGCGGGATTCATCGCTAAAGACTATACGTTCACAGTCAGCATCATTCCAACCTGATCGAGCCAAGTACCGCTGTAATCTGGCTCGACAGTGTGCAGACGTAAATGGCAGGTGGCGTAACGGTCGTTACGAGCGTAGATTTCGCTCTATCAGCCATCTGTGAATGGTCATGGTGGGCATTCGTGTGCGGGTCGCAAGTCTGATGGTTGATAGTGATGTGACAGTTGATCTGACAATCACTGTCAGATCAATTGTGGCCCTAGGCCGACCGCTACAATCATGACTCTAAAATCTGCCATTATCCACCTATTCTTGCCAGCATTTTCTAATCGCCGCATCGCTTCGACTCACATTTGCCCAGCCTGCCTCTTTCAATCCAATGATACGACCTCTTCCAGACTCTAACAGTTGCTCGTAATGAGCTCGAATCCTGCGGCTACGCATTTTTCCAGTCGTTGAAAGGTATCCTAAATCGCAATGCAACAGAAATTTTTAACAATAGTTCAAGAATAGCTTCTTATCATCTGCTGGATGCGCAGTTCCGATGCGCTGGAGATCGCACTATTCATTCATTGGACACCAAATTTTAATCATTTACATATTTGGTGAAAACAGTTATGCATACGTAATTTCAAAGCAATCATATGATTCCTTCTTGGTGAGCCGATTTTTTTATTGTAGAGTATATTAAATCACAGTCATCATCGACAGCACCAATGCATTATTACAAATGCATGGGCAAGTTATCTGTAGCTCTTCTGAAGAATTCAGAGTAATTTTAAAGTTGTAAAGTCTTTCATGGTCAGATAGCTATATGGGCGTTTTTCTAATAAAAAGTTGTCTGAGAGCCTAAAAATGATAGTCCTTTGGCGGAAGATTTGGCAGATGTATTTTTGAACACTGAGAATAAATATGAAATGATATATAGTCAGGGACGGCATCAGAGTCGGTGGGGCGGAATTTTTAGAATTTCGTGAAGCATCGAGCAAATCTAGGGATGGCAAAACTTTTAAAATTTAGAAAGACACTAGGCAGCAGACTTTAGAACCCACAGAGATTGCCATCAGGTGGAAAAATACCGAGCGCTAGCCCTGTGTATGATGCACTGAGACATAACTGATAAATCTTTTATATTATTATTTTTAATTTCTTCATTAATAGGAAAATTCCTTTCTAATGATGCTTGTCTATGTGACAAGATTAGAAGTATTTCTGATATTTTGCGTACTTGTGGCTAGTTAAAAGAAGAGAAAATAAATGAAAGCTAATAAACATTAAGAGAAAAACTTCTAAGATAAGAAGTAGAAAATTCAAATAATTATGTTTTCATTGTTCTTCCAAAAATTCTCCCTAAAGTAAGAAATTCATCACAAAGGTCTCGTAAAATATATCCATTACGTGTTAATACCATGAAGACAGTTTTCATTTTGTCACATTCTTCTGGAACCTTCTGTAATCGTAGTTCTATAAATCTTGTATTCAAATCCGTCTAAACTTTCCGAGCTGCAATGTCTGAAATCCGAAAGGAAAATTATCAGCATAAAGCTGGTAATTTTTCGGGGGGGGGGAAATCAAAGAAGTAAAGTGTAAAATTAAATTTATTCAGAAAAATCCAGAATTGTTCTTTATAGCATTTATTGTCTATTTATTTTTCAGATTAAAATTGAGATGGAAAGTAATGTCACTTTATAATATGACAGGAAAAAAATAAAAATTTTGTATTTTTAATTTTATTTCTTAAATATAATTTTAATATATTATCATTATTTTAATGAAATTTATCAATGCTATACTGTTTCCAAAAAGCTGTGGAAATTTGTGAAATAACCGAATAAAAAATTTTGTATAGAAACTGATTTTAAAATCGCCAAAATATTGATAAGTCGTCAAATTTAGACCCGTTTAATAAAGGAATCCAGGCCCCGAAAAGGAAAACGTTCTTCATAATCTAAAAAGAAAAAATTTCAAAATTCTTGTTTTTCACTTCTTGCCCAGAAACTCGAGTATCTAATTCTTATTAGAAGCAGGAAAAAATTCAAACGATAACCAATCAAATACAAATTTGTCAGTTAATCGTCAAAATGTATTCCTCCAAAATGCTAATTCACATTTAAAATGAGAGTCATAATAAACAGATGGAAATATCAGATGATTAAAATTAAGGACTTTCTCCCGATTTTTGCCGAAATTAAAGACTTTTAAAGACCAAAAATCGTTTGCAAAAGACTTAAAGATTTCTAGGGACCGTACGAACCTTGAATACTAAGAAGCAATGCTTTTTTTTTTTTTTTTTTAATTATTATTTTAAAACATACAGACTCCCCTTGCACCACATATGTGCAACACGGGGTTTACAGAAGTAAGTTAACTAAAACATTAAAAGTTACATGCATAAATAAAACGAACAAAAGCTGTCTGGACTTCACGAAAACAGATAAGTTCACAGGCTAAGTCATTCCGAACATTTTCAAATCGTTCTGCAAGCATAATCTAGGGCCATCAAATATAGGGCGTAAGAAAATCAAATGTTCCACATACTGAGGTACTTTTTTGAACATTCACATAAATTGTTTGATCTTAGTTGAAATCGAAACAAGTAGCTTGCAAATTTACCGTAACCAGATAAAAACTGAGAAACTTTAAAATTTATAGAGAGGAAAGACTCAATGCAGTCTATGGTAAATGGAAGGAAAGACCTTTTTGGTGATCTCGGCATTACAAGATAAAATATATTCCTCATTCCACTTAGCTAAAAGCTTTGAAAGGACTTCCAATAGCTCTTTGGAATGCTAATGTTGATATCAATGGGTAAATTTAAGGCATCTTTAGCTAAGAAATCAGTTCTTTCATTTCCATAGAAACCATGATGAGCACGCACATAAGCAAAGCGGATATCAATTCCTCTATTACTAAGCAAACTGGAAATTAATAGGATTTCGATAATTAATTTGCCGCAGCTGGTAATACTGTTCAAAAGTTGAAAACTTGAAGAGAAGAAAGAGAAGCAGAACAAATAAGGTACCTTGAGGATGTTGTCCCATTATCCTCGATCCATATGACGGCAAGATAAATGCACAGAAGTTCTGC